TGGTGTACTTCGTTCAGTACGTATTGCTAAACAAGATATTTTGCTTCACCAAGAATTAGCAAAACAAAATTAAAAATATTAAACCATATTTAATTAAATTAAATAAATGTTTCTTGTTCTATTGTACCTAGTTGCATAAAACAATAAAGCAGTATTAATTGTTCTCTATAGGACTCACATTTAATAGTTCTTTTCAGAACTTTGTGTTGATTCTATTAAACAGTCCTTTTTAAGACTATTTACTTCAATTTTATAAAACGGTTCTTTTCAGAACCAATAAACATCACAATTTACTATTATTTTAATAATTATGTGTAAATATAAATTTACATAATTACATTACCTTTATTTTATGTTTATCTTATAATAAAGAAAATATTCTTACTAAATTTTTAATTATTTTGTTCTTTAAACCTAGTATTTTATTACAAATCCAGACTCCAGTGTAATGTAATTTTGGTCTATCTTTACTCGCAATCGTTTTTCATAATAATATGCAGATTTATCGTTAGTTTCTAAATTTAACATATTCAATATGAACACTCAATATTAAAATACAACTGCATTATTTTATTTATAAATAATAATAATATTTAATTAATTATATTATTTATGTTGTTGCGATTTTATTCTTTTAAAATTTGAACATAAAATAATTTATTTTATTTTATAAAAAACTATGATATGGATAAAAATTTGCTGTATTGTTAAAATTTGGTAAATCTTGTGTAGTGTATAATGTAAATTGTAATACAATACTTTTTTACAAAGCAGATTTTACTGAATCATAGTGTTGCAAAATAAATTAATTTTTCGTATTTTTCGACTTTTTGGTCGCGTACAACACAACGTAATAATTAATAATAATTTTACAATATTGTGGTAATAGTGCGATGTACGGAAAATATCATTTATCTACGATAGAGTAATTTATAAGCTTATCGCTTTTTCTGTCATTGCCAAAAACCGGTCTAAGATTATGTTATTACTGTTTGCCGTCAGTACTCAATATTAATAATATAATATTAATTCATACAACGCTACCTATTGGCAGCTATTATAAATAAAATTTTAGTCACCGAAAATCCCTATACCATTGTCTATCTGTCTATTCTATAATCAATGGTAGTATATAGTATGTCTAGAATCAGTAGAATCTAGATATTAAAGATTAGTGCCATGCGGGTAATTATTATTTAGAAAAGAAAAACATATATTATCCAAACCCAATATCCCATATTATTATACGTTTGTAAGCTGTCAGTTTTAATTAAAATTTGGTGTTTGTTTATTTTATATTCATTCATGGAAATTATAAGAATAATTTTGCTTGGAGTGAGAGAAGGGAGTGACCCATTCTATTTACTATACCCGGGGGATTATTATTTATTATTAAATATCAACTAATGTCTGGAACGAATAATAATAATACTTAATATATAGTCTATATTTAAATGACATGACAAACTTGGTGCTGTAAAATTATATATATAGACTATAGCTGTGCTGCGTTGTCAACAATTTACTATTCTTTATTACACTATTGTTGTGTATTGCTCTCAATATTTAATTTTTATGAACAAAATTGAAAATACATTGTAATATACTAATATGGATACTGATACATCGCAATCAAAATGCACAAAATGGAGTCATTTAAACAAATATTTTAAGGAAACATTGCATAGTGATGGTAATAATAATATTACATTTAAATGTTTGCTATGTATCCCTAAAGAAAAACTCATCTCTACTTCGACTTCCTCCAATTCAAATTTAAGGAGCCATATTAAAGTAAGTAAATATACTATTGTTTATTGATTAATACCTAATCTAGGTACTAATAAGTATTAACTAATATAAAGTACCTAAGCATGTAGTTCTTTTATTAAATGAATTATAATTTTATAATTTTTAACAATTATCTACAGCATATTCATCCTAGTCAATTATCAGAGTTTAATAAGTGTGGAAAAAAAAGGAATAATATTGATGATAACCCTGCTGCATATAAACAGTTAAAGCTAGATGAAGTTGGAAAAATCTCAAAAAAATTGAACCAAACCGAATTTGACAAGGCTAATATTGAACTTATTGTGAGCACAGTATCACCTTTTTCATTAATTGAACATCCGGGATTCATTAAATATTGTAAGCTGACATCCAACAGAGTTCCAGCATCTAGAAGAAATTTTATGCGAGATATAGTATCTGAGTATAATGATATGACTGCATCGTTAAAAGATGAATTATCTCAAGTTAATTTTGTATGTATCACTGCAGATTGCTGGTCTGTATTTCACCGGTAAATATATAGATAAATATTATTTTATGTTAAATGAGTAATAACAATGATGTACATTTGACATTTCTAATTTATTTATTTCATAATAATATTAAAAACTGTGTTCTTTTATATAGGTCTTACATGGGGTTCACAGTACACTGGTTAAATAAAACCACATTAGAGCGTACATCAAAAGGACTTGCTTGTAGGAGAATGTATGGAAAACATACATATGACAATATAGCTGAAATGATTGACAAAGTATTATCGGAATTTAATATTCAGAATAAGACATCTCTCATTGTAACTGATAACGCGGCAAACTTTGTGAAAGCTTTCAGGTATAGTACTTTAATCTAATATCTACAACAATACATAGTAAAAAATTAAATATATTTTAAGTCCAAACCACTAATAAGTAATACATGCATGATATAGTTAATTTATTACCTATATTTTATTCATGACAAATTAAATAACCTACCTTGTGCAATAGCCAATAATATTTATAAAAAAAAAAACAGCCCACTAGTTATTCTACTAGTCATTCTGACAAAACAATTAAATAATATAGCATAATAGGTAAATACTGATTTAAATTATCAGCAATTTTTGCCTTTGTTGTTTTTATATTACTGTATATTTGTTTTTTTACTTTTAGCTTGTTTTAAATGAAACATATATTAATACATTTTTTAATTATCATTAAATAATAAAAGAATAATGACTACAATAATACCAACCTGCCTAGGTTGTACATTGAAAATTAAAATGAATTATTATTTATTACATTAGATTCTTCACTAATATTTATAGAACCTAACAATATAATTAATAATTATATCTTTAACTTGTAGAGTCTACAATGAAAATGCCACTATACAACCTTCCACTGCCAGTAATCATAGTAAGTGTTATTTTTCAATATTATGGTTTTTATAAATTAGTATCAGGAACTGCATAAGAAACCCTTCCACCCACTGGAGTATTGATCTATTTATCCTTATTTATCCAGTTTTATATCAAATTATATGCATAAATTATAAAACCATATATATTTCAATATTTGTATTATAAAGTGAATAATATAATTTACAAGTGCTTATGTTATTAGTGTTATTGCATATAATTTTATGTAAAACTGGATAACTACCAAAGTACCTACCCATCAACCTACTAACTACTTCCCACTAAATTTGAAGAAGCATTTGCTCCAAAATTAACCCTTTAACATGTGATTGATCAAGATCAAGGCGAAGAAGAAGAAGAAGAAGAAGAAGTGATGCGACCAATTAATATTTCAGACGAGCTTGAAAATGGAGTAGGTAATTTGTTTAATTTGACATTACCTCAACATCAAAGGTGTGCTGCGCATACCTTGAATTTGATTGCTACTACTGACATTGGAGATGCTGAAAAAGATAAAGCCTACAAAATATTGAGCAGACGCGTGTTTGGGAAATGTCAAGCTTTATTTAACAAGCAGAACCAATCAACGCAATATGCTGATCAAATAAAAAATGTTCTTGGCAGATATTTAATTACTCCTAATGCTACAAGGTACATAATGTAAATTTATATCCTTGTGTATATTTATGTATTATTTAACTATTTTTAATAAAAAAAACTCATATTACATCTAAATTACATTCTAGGTGGAATTCATTTTATGACGCTATTAAATGCATTGTCAGTAATTTGAATAAAATAGATGAAGTATTTTCTATAATGTCATTGCCACCATTTTCTAGACCACGTGAAACTTTATTTCTAATTGAGTATTGCAAGGTATTTATATAATATATTTATTACTATCAACTCATATTTTTTTGTTTCCCATAATTGCAATACAGTTTAATATATCTACTATCTAGTATCAAAGTACTTAAAGACTAAAGTTATACTATTTATTAAAATGTTTAGGTTATGCAGCCAATCGCAAAAAGCTTAGACATATTACAAGGGGACAAACATGTGTGTCTTGGATATTTACTTCCTACATTAACTGCGATTAATAAATCATTAAAAAGTTTGTCAAGTTTAAACTACTGTACGCCATTGGTAAATGCTTTGCAAAAAGGAATAGAAAAAAGGTATTTGATTTTAATTATAATAAAATTACTTAAACTATTTTAAACAATTATTGTATTGTATTTGGTATTAATAGGTTTCAAAGATACATGAGTTCTAGCACATGTCAGATATCATCTGCTTTAATTCCTAAATTTAAGTTGAACTGGGCCAGCTCAGAAGAAAAAATAAGTATTAAAGAAAAGTTGGTTGAAACTTTAAAAACTTGTGCTGAGGATGCAGGCAGTACATATACTTCTTCACAACCTTTGGTTCAAAATAATTTGTCACATCAAAATGTGACAGAGGATGATGATTTTTTGCTTTTTGAAGATGACTTGCAAGAATCCCAAAATAATTATGATTTACAAAAAATAGTTTCTGATTATTTATTGAACCATAACATAAAAGCTCCAGAAGATTTGCCAATAACATTGAAAGAAGCCTATATTGAGTACAATACTGCAGTACCATCGTCAGCTCATGTTGAACGTTTGTTTAGTGCAGGAGGACAGGTTTTTAGCAGAAGAAGGGGTTCCATGTCTGATACCAATTTTGAAATGGCTTTATTGTTAAAGTTTAACAAATATTTTATTCAAGAATAAATAAAATATAAATTATAAATATTATAATAATTTATTTGTATACAATATCTTATGAGCAAAAACTAATAAAAATAATCATATAAAATAAAATATTTTTTTTTGTATGTAAGCTCAGTTTGAGTGTCTAGTTAACAGTGATAACCCATAAAAATCTATTCTGGAGTGATTTTAGAGTAATTCACTTGTGTGCTAGTAGCCAGCAGGTAACAGTGAACAGTATTTAATATTTACAACTAACTATTATTTTCTTAAATATATCAAAAAGTATAATAACAGCATATATAATGAGTTAGGTAGTTGTTAGTTGTTTATTTAACCATATTTCATGAATGTTAATGTATGAATACATATTATGAGCTTAATAAAATTAATGTCCATGTTATTTTATTTTTGATACTGCTGTTATCATAAGATGCTGTCTACGAAAACTATGGTAAAATAAAATAATAGCTTATCTTTAATTAAATATATCATTCTTACTAATAAGTAATAATAATTAAAATTCATTTTATAAATGTTTGTATTTAGACAAGTAGTTGTTTTATTAACTGTTAATTTAATAATATTTAATACTATACAATATACATTTATAATTAATTTGATTATTATTTATTACCTAATACTTAGTTGGTAATAACCACGGTATATTATAGAGGTATTAGCACGGACTACGTATTGTGTC